TCAATCAATCAATCAATCAATCAATCAATCAATCAATCAATCAATCAATCAATCAATCAATCAATCAATCAATCAATCAATCAATCAATCAATGACAAGTTGAGGGGACCAGGGCATCTCAATGGTTATTGAATGATGCACAAGAGGAAAACCATCTGGAAATTAAATTATCTCGAGAAAATGGTCCTCGTTATTTCATAATAACAGCATTATATGTTGTTTTCATGAGAAAACTGTGGAAATTAATTATATGTATAAAACGACCGCTCTTGGCTTCCATAATTAGGTATACTTTAAGTCTGCTATTACTCTTTAGACAGCCAAATTCAAGGTGGCTGCCACAATTCATCCACCTAAGTCAACCCAAAAATAGCTGTAACTACAGCTATAATTTATATATATAGAGTTCAAATTTGATGTGGAAGCTGAAAATCAATCACAATAAAAACCCTGAGCTCCACATCTGGTGTTCTTGCGTGGCATTGAATACAAATATTGCTGTCAAGATCTGCCTGAAATGTCAACTTGGTCATTTCTCATCATCAGATGATCTCGGTCTAAAACTCTGAGTTGAAAAGCAAAGCTAGGCGTTTTATAAGCCATAACATTTGTTAATAATACTGTATATATTATTTTCTGTTGAACAGCTGAAAGTGACAGCAGACCCCTCTGCAGATTTCACCCTCACCCCTCTCTCTGGTGACCAGTACACCACCTGTCTGTGTGGCAGTGAGCGCAAGACCCTCAGCTGGACTATGACTCCCACCTCCTTAGGTGAGTCAGATCACAGCAGTGTCAGTTTTAAAAGCTGATGGGCAGAAGTTTATTTCCATCAACACAGTGAGATGCATCTGAAAGACAAAAATGTTTGACAACTTAAGAATTTACAGAATCTAAAGGTGATCTTCATGTTTTTAGGGGTTGTGAATGTGACGGTGACTGCTGAGGCAATTACATCTCATGTCTCTTGTGACAATGAGGTTGTGAGCGTTCCAGAGAGAGGTCGCATTGATGTTGTAACCCGGCCTCTCATCGTAAAGGTTCGTGTCATCATGAGGTTAAAATGACGCTGTAGCCCTCTGTGAACACGATGAAATATTTGTCTTTCAGGCTGAAGGAATTGAAGTGACAAAGACTCACAACTGGCTCCTCTGCCCTGAAGGTTAGTAAGGACCAGGAAAAGACGTTCTTTATTATAAAGAGAGAAAGACTGCACAATGTTAGCAGAAGTTCTAATGCAGCATTTATTGTTTAAATATTAAAAAAAAATCACCAAAACCAGTCCATCTGAACAACTACAGGAAAAACAATACAGAAATGAAATAATACACAATCTTTAATTTCCTGTCAGTGTCAAAAAGACAAGGTATAGACTGAAAAAAGTAGGTAGAAGCCTAAACTTTTTATAACTTCACTTTTTATTCAAAYRTTATCAAAATCAAATCRACATCTTTCTTATAGATTTTATGAAATAAAATTTCCAATGAAATTCTAAACAAATTTGTAACAAAACTCTAGCAGCTGCAAACAATCAGTCAAAACTTAATATATTTCTGTAACAAATATTTTTTTTACATTATTTTAAATTTACTTAGTGAAGAACACAGTTTTAACTCTTCGCAACAATTATTCCAAACACAAATCCCTCTAACAGAAATACAATTATTTTTAATATTTGTCCTAACCTTTGTTTTTCTAAATAAATCTTTCCTTCTGAATTCAGAATTTGTTTCTTTAATTTCGAACCACTTCTGTACACAATGTGGAAGGACTTTAGTATGTGCTTTGTACATTGTCAGTGCTGTTCTAAGTTCTACTAAATCATAAAAATTTAAAGTATCAAATGTGATAAATATGTCATTTGTTGGCTGACAATAATCTAGTGCATTTATAATTTGTATAGCTTTCTTCTGAAGCATATAAATAGGTTTTGTATTGGTTTTATAGGAATTTCCCCAAATTTCCACACAGTAAGTCATGTATTAAACGACAATATAACATATATAATGTTTTTAAATTTAGAAAATGTTTTATTTTATTTAATATTGCAATAGTTTTTGACATTTTAGCTTTTACATTTTCAATATGAGCTTTCCAATGCTTTTTGTAATCAAGTGTCACTAATAATATAATTTCATACATTTTCTATTTCAGTATTATTTATCTTCAGTTTTACATCATTTTTTATTCCTTTATTACTAAATACAATATATTTAGTTTTATTGTGATTTAGTAATAGTTTCTTTTTGTCACACCAATTCTTTATTGCCTTTAATTCTATTTCGGTTGTATTCAGAAGCCGTTCCAAACTATTACCAGAGCAATATAATTTAGTATCATCAGCAAATATGGTGAACGTTAGTAATTTAGATACATTGCAAAGATCATTTATATAAAGTAAAAAAAGTTTTGGACCCAATACCAACCCTTGTGGTACTCCACAGGTTACATTCAGTAAATCAGAATTCACATTATTTATTTGTACACATTGATATATCCAAATAACTTCTTATCCATGAATGGGCTAGTCCTCTCACACCAAATCGTTCCAATTTACTTAACAGTGAGCCATGATCTATGGTATCAAAAGCTTTTTTGAAGTCTATAAACACTCCATCAGTAAACTCCTTTTTATCAATTGTGTTTGTTACATCTTTTGTAGTTCAGTATGTTTCATGTTAAAATGAGTATTTCACCATGTGTTCAATGGGAACTTCAGTACATTTGATCAAACTATTGTCAGAACTTATCAAAAGACTGCTTGATGTTCTGGGTCCCTTCATGACTCATTGACACTCTGTACTTTAAAAAAATTACTTCTTTAGGTTTGTCTCATTATGAATATTTGTGTTCCGCTCTGTTGACAGGAAAAGCTTTGACAGAGAAAACAGAGCTGCTCCTTCCTGAAAATGTGATTAGTGGATCTACTCGTGCATCAGCATCGGTCCTGGGTAAACTTATTTCATTTGAGAAAAGAGCAAAATGACTTTTAACAAATTAAATTAGCTTCTTTCCTTAAGCCATACCACAATATTTTAGTAATCTTCCTGACATATTTTATACCACATTTTGGGAGGTTTTATTTGTACATACCCCATGTCTGTCAAATCCATGCTTTGTTGGAGTGAATCTACGTTTTTGTGCAGGTGACATTCTGGGCCGAGCCCTGAAGAACCTGGATGGACTGCTGCAGATGCCGTACGGATGTGGAGAGCAGAACATGGCTCTATTGGCTCCTAACATCTACATTCTTGAATATCTACAGAGTACACAGCAGCTGACTCCTGCCATTAAAGAAAAGGCCTTTAACTTCTTAACCAGTGGTAAGTCTCCTTCAGTTTTAGAACATGGCTTAAAAATGTACGAGCATACGTCTAAAGTGGGTAAATATGAATTATCATGAAGTTAGAATTTAGAAATATTTAAATTTCAGGAAGACGGACTCACACCGGACTGTGTGTGTGTGTGTGTGTGTGTGTGTGTGTGTGTGTGTGTGTGTGTGTGTGTGTGTGTGTGTGTGTGTGTGTGTGTGTGTGTGTGTGTGTGTGTGTGTGTGTGTGTGTGTGTGTGTGTGTGTGTGTGCAGAACTGAGGGCTGTGCACCCCAGTGGGGCTCCAGTGCACACACGTTTGCGTGGGTGTGTTGGGGGGGTTGCAAACATAATCAAGTTGAATTAAAGTTGATACTCATTTACTGTTTATTGACAGATTAATATGATAACGTGTTATTGTGAATATGTGATTATGAGAATGGTTTATCAGTGATAAATAAAATGAGATTATGATAGAAAATGACAGAAATTAATACTGTCATGATGTATTAAATCTGATGTAATTGATCCAAAGATGCAAAATGGATATGAGCCTAAAATTACTTTGAGCATAAAACAAAACATAGAATGTATTTTGAGGCAAAAGGATTTTTTATAGGTGTTATTTTAGAGGTGTAGGATTAAACTATGGTGCATAACTAAAGTCAGATTGAGGTTGGGGAACTTTTAAGATTTACCAAAAGGCTTATTGGAAGATGGGACCAATAGTTGCTCTGAGCAGCTTTGTCTCCAGTAAAGAGATGCTTTGCACTACAGAGTTGATGTTAAGGTGCATTTAACACACAGCCAGAGGAACAAAGCCTCACACACAGGAGCTGCAACCTATCCAAATATAAAGCAGTCTACCAGGCCCATAAATCAGTGCTGCGCACAAAAACCTCACGCCCTTTTCCACGCAAAACTCCAGATTTATCAAAACTGAACTGAACGTGGAAATGTGCACAGCCCCACACCAACTCCAGGGCTGGTGTCACACGTTTCTGTGGTTCTGGTTCCACTGGAGACACTTAGAGGTGATTCTGAGAAACTGTTCATGATGTGAAAATGATTATTGTTCACACCAGGCACACATGATTAACAATTATGGAGAATTTAATAAATAGCATATTAGCAGAGAATGTGTTTATACATAGAGAATTTTTGGTTCATGATGACAACTCACCAGTAGAGATGTGACATTCGCGAATGATCGGCTCCAACGGCTCTTTACAACGAACGATAGGAGCCGAATCGCGAGCAATAATGAGCTATTTGTAGTTTTACTTCTTTTATCCCTCATGTAATCTTTATTTTTTCAAACTTAAATCGCTCCCACTTTGCTTTTTCACAGAAAACAGGCAGAGTTGTGGAGTACAGAAGCTCAAGGTGAAAGGGTGAGGGGGGTTTCCGCTTAACAAAACACATGGTTCCACCCACGTGATGGGATGATGTCATTACGTACGGCTACGTGATGACGTATTTCCCTATGTGATGACGTAATATGCTCAAAATCGAACGGCTCTTTTGAACAGCTCTATGAGACAAATGGCTCCCCAAGATCCGGATCCCTTCAAAGAGCCATTTATCCCATCTCTACTCACCAGCTGTTTTCAGCTTCTAACAATAATCATTTTTCATTTGCTTGGCACTGCGGCGCTGTGGGAGCGCAACACAGCGACGAGGAGCCTTGCGCTGTGCGTGCAGCGCTCCTGCTGTGAGCTCTGAACATGTTCAGAAACACAAACACATTTAACCTATAAGTCTGGGATGATATGGAGCATGTAGACAGAGCTGCTAACCTAATGGTGCTAGGTCTGTGTCATCACTGGGCTGGCTGACTTGAGTCAAGGTGACCTCGGCCCCTCCATCACAGAAAATATTTGTTAATTTAACTCATTAGGCTGCATTTTGCACAAACCTTTTTCTTTTCCCCTCTTAGTTTCTCTGCTCCACCAAACCCCTGCTGCTTTCTTTCAAACATGTTTGCTGATTTAACCCGCCAGGCATTCATTTGTAATACAATACAAAATTAACAAAGTTCAAAAAAACATACAATCAAAATGAAATCAAATAAAGGATGCAGAAGAAGAATAAATCTTTTAATATCTGCCCCTTTTTATTCCCAAAAAATATGTTCAAAAGAAAAGTAAAATACAATAAAAATTCAAAACAACTTAAAACACTTAAAAATGAATTAAAAACAAAAATTAAGACACCAACTCATACAACAATTAGCATGAATTCACTTATAATTCTACATATTTCTTCAGAATGCTAGATTTTATCATTCAGTTCAATATATTGATTTGATTTGATTTATTTGTTTAACAGGAAAATATTATTAAAAATCAAGCCTGACTCTGCATAATTGCTGTTTTACAGCAGGTTCCTGTTCTTCAGCACATAAAACACTCAGAATTACAGCATCACAATCACATCATTATACACCATAGACACAAAGACAAACAAGCATACCAAATTTCAGGAAGGCAGCATTTGCAAAATAGGACGTCTAAATATGAACACAACAAAAAGTGTCCAGCAGATGGCAGACAAGATTCTTCTTAAAGGGCTGTAGTTTTGAAATGGACTTTATATATTGAGGAATGTCATTCGATGCTTTAGTATAAACATAGAAGAAAGACCTCTGGCTGTAAAAGTTTTTAAAAGTTGGTAATATCAGTTGTCCCTTTCTAACAGATCTAGTTGAATGATCACTTCCAGAATTTGATTTGGGCAACAATGCACAGAGAGTTCCATAATTGGCACCTTGGAAGATCTGAAAATATAAATTAATACCACTATACAAAACATAATTCTGAAAAGTCAAGGCATCAGACAATGAAAGAACTGTACAGTGATGAGTCCAACCAGGAAGTTTTTTATGAATTTTGTAGGCACTGTTGTAGAGCCTAACTATGGGTTCTAAGATTTCATTTGTTGTAAGAGACCAAACAGGTAAACAGTACGACATGGTTGAGAGTATAATGGCATGAAGATAGATATTTGAAACAGAAGATGTCAGATTGGATCTAATTTTTGAATAAACGTATAATTTCTGTTTCAACTTAGTGGTTAAGACTTGTACATGATCACGATAAGTCAAATGAGAATCCAAAGTAATTCCAAGATATTTGTAGGTAGTGACAATATCAAGGGGTTTGTTTAAAAAAGTGAGTTGATTTGTTATATTGAAATGTCTCCTGGGTGAGGAAAAATACATGCACACAGTTTTTTTAACATTAATTGACAAAAGATTATCTTGAAGCCAACCATGAAATGTCTGAAGATCTGCTTGTAACTGACTATTAATAGATTCAATATTGAAATCAGACAAAAAAAGAACAGTATCATCAGCATACATTAAAATATTTGAATACTTCAATATTTTTGGAAGGTCATTTATGTATAATAGGAAAAGCAATGGGCCCAGTATGCTACCCTGCGGAACTCCCACGGAACAGGGCAGAGACCCGAACACAGAGCTTCCATGTTTCACAAACTGACACCTGTCAGTCAAATAAGAGGAAAACATTTGTATTRCAGATGATGAAAGTTGAAAAGAAATCAACTTTTGTAAGAGAGTATAATGATCAACTGTGTCAAACGCTTTACGAAAATCAATATATACAGCACCAGTTACTGGACCTTTGTTCAAAGCAGCACGTATTTGTTCAGTGAATAAAATTAATGCAGACATGGTTGACCTTGACATGCGGAAACCATGTTGGCTATTGCTTAGCATATTATTAGCTTCTAGATGCTGAAGTAGTTGATTAAATAATGTTTTTCAAGTAACTTAGAAAAAATAGTTTGAACAGAAATTGGCCGATAGTTTGAAACTTCTGTTGGATCAGCAGATTTAAAAATGGGAGTAATCTGAGCAAACTTCCAGGCATCAGGGAAAATAGACTACACAATACATAAATTAAGCAAATGATGAAACAATGATAAAAAAGTGTCAGTATATACAAAGATCTGTCATTTTTAACCTCATCTTCCAGGCTGTTCCATAATCTTATTCCCTGGATTTAAGTGGATCTCTCCTTCAGGCTCGTACACAAAACAGGGTTTCATAAACATTTCTATTCCTTTGATATAATAACAGCTCTGTCTTTTAACAAAATTTACCTGAATGTTGGAAGGTAACACACCTTTATGAGCTCTGTACATTAACAGTAAAATATTGTAATCAACCAAATCATATAATTTTAATAATTCCAATTCATGAAACAATATATTAGATGGATGACTGTAATTTTTTCTAGTAATAACTCTTATAGCTCTGTTCTATAAAATAAAAATAGGATTTGTGATAGTTTTACAAGCTTTACCACAGACTTCAATACAGTAAATTAAATGTGGAACAGTTATAGTGTTATACAACATAAACAGTGATTTATTATTGAACAGTTCTCTCACTTTGTACAGGACTCCAATTGATTTGGCCATTTTTGTTCTTAAACCAATTATATGATTTTCCATGTCAGTTCTTCATCAATAATGACAATAATGACAGGGTCAACTTTTTTCTCTTTTTTTATTTGGGAGGGGGTGCACACCAGGCTCTGTCTGCAGCTTCTCCTGCTCCACAGAGCTGCTGTTTACAGGTAGAGGGAAGGTTGGTGCAAAAATACAGACTGAATAATAACCTGGCATGTCCTTGTGTGTAACAGCACGGGTTTCGGTGAAAACATGGACTAGATGTCAATCAATACATGTGTTTTTATAATAAAAAACTGGACCGGAGTTGAGTTTTTGGTGTTAGTCAGTTCTCAGCATGAGACATAGGGAGTGTGGCATGAGAGTGTGTGTAGACCCTCAGATGCACGAGTCTCATGCCCAAAATGTGAGAGTTGGCAGTCTTGGGCTGCACCAGGTGTGCACCCAGTAACAGCAGCTTCACACATACACAAAGACACACAGTCACTCGTTTTTTTTTACATATGACAAACACATTTTTACTCTGTTACTTACTTATGAATTTTTCTCATTCACATATTTGTGACCCGTCACATCGAAATGAGGATTAAGTCCAAAATTGTATAAGGAGAAAAAGGCAAATATAGTGTTTTGACTAAAATATTGACAAAAATTGCATTTTGTCAAAAAATAATGAATAAAAACCTTATTAATGTATCATTTGAATGAACTGTCTGAAATGTAATCATAAAACGAAATTTTGAAGCACTTTTTGAACAGTAGCAACAAAAAAACTGATTTTGAGGAAAAACACCTTAAAATGTTGAGATTTTCTCTGTGAGTTAGTAAAGTTTGTTTCTTTTTATCTGGTAAATCTCAATATTCAAATATAATTTGAGGTTTCCTCTTTATAAGGACATCAAAAACTCCTCATTAAAATGACATAAAATCAGGATTCAGACCAAATATTTATGTATTATTGTAACCAACAAGACAAATTAAGTCATATATATGGATTTAATTATGACATCAGGATGATCCAGGTATCAAAATGTAGCTTTTAAAGACAAGAATCTGAAAATGTAATTAGGTCATTTTGACCTAATTTGACTTAATCCTCATTTTGACATGATGGGTCACATTTAATCAATTATTTTCCTGAATCTAGAAATCATTTCTGATCACGCAGGTATCACTCAAACATGTCCTTCACACATGCAGGAAGTAATTTTCATCTGTTTAACATACTGTGTGTTAATGAAGGCGTGTCAGGGAGGTGTCTCACGTGCGCTCAGTTCCACATTGATTATGATGTTCAAAAGAAATGTGAGTGGACTCCAGGGTACGCAGAGTTTGATACATCTGGATTTTTTTTGTGCATATGCCATTTTCTTGATATGACCGTATGCCACTTTTCAGTAAGAAATCCACTCAAATCTTTGTACATGAGGCCCAAGAACTAGTCATATGTGTACCACATCTTGTTCAAACCTGTTTCTAATCTTTGGCAGGGTACCAGAGACAGCTGAACTACAAAGACCATGATGGTGCATACAGCACGTTTGGAACAGGACCAGGAAACACTTGGTGAGGACATGCTGCTTAGAATTATTCAGACTGAACCATTTACCTTTAAAAAATGGTGTGTAAATCTTTAGCCATCTGTCAAATGAACAAAGGATTTAGTCACCAAGTGGGGATGTAGAGATACGGGCAACTATAGTGCACTGGTTAAAAAATGTGTGATAATTTCAGTTTGTCAAAAAACAATTAATCTTATCGAGACATTGGCGGTGAGACTGGACCCAAGATACAGACTCGACACAAGGAAATCAAAATAAAAATATATATTTTCTTAAATAAAAGGCAGACATGGCCGCGAAACACGGGAAGGCAACCAGATCAGAACCAAACAATGAACGGACGAGAAAGTGGTGAAAAGAGACATGAGCAACACCTGGGCTGGGAGCAGATTACTAATTACAGACAGGTGAGGGAGGTGGAGAGGACAGAGCTGACGGAGGAGAAGATGATGATGAGAGCACAGAACACAAGAGATCGTGGGTCCCTTCAATGAGATGTCTGAAATTTAATCCTAAAGAATATTTTGAAGCACTTTCCTCAGCAGAACCAACAAATTACATGATTTTGAGCATCAAGAATTCCTCATTGGATTACTGAAAGATTTCAAACTGATTTTCCAGGAGACATTTTAAATACAAGGCAAATCAAGCCACATCTCTGGCACCCCTCATAATATCAGGATGAGCTAAGCATCAAAATTATCTTCAAAAGACTGAAATGTGAAAATGAGCTTAATTTCTTTTGAACAAATCTGACTGAATCCTCAGTTTAATGTGACAGGTCACATTAAATAACTCAATAATCACTATTATTACCTCCGCCAAGGGTGACGTAATGTTTTCGGTTGCGTATGTCTGTTCGCATGTCTGTCAATCTGTTGTTCTGTCTGTGGACAACATTACTCAAAAACTTGTGTACTGATTGTCATGACATTTTTACCACATGTGGGTACTGGGCCAAGGAACACACCTTTAAATTTTGGTGATGTTCCCGATCACAATGCGGATACAAGAATTTTTTTCTTTTAACACTCTGAGATTGGCAAAGCTGTGATGCTTTCACAGGGCGTGGGTTTCAAAGTGTCCAGCAGGTGGCACTGTAGTATTGGTGTGCCCTTTTGTAACTCTATTACAGGATGGGGGAAATTGGTCTTGGTGGAGGTTTGCACTCTCCGAGTGCTTCTAGTTACAGTATATTCATATTATTCTCTTCAGAATTGTTTGTTTCAGTCGTAATCATTAAATTTGCATGTTTTCCTCAGGCTGACGGCTTTTGTACTGAGATCGTTTTATAAAGCTCAAACATTTGTTTACATCGACCCAACAAAGATTGAAGAATCAAAGACTTGGTTGGTGAACAAACAACGTAAAAACGGCTCTTTTGAACAGTCAGGAAAGCTCTTTAACAACAAAATGAAGGTAAGTTGATCACTGAGTTTGAATAACACACATTACAACAAAAATAAATTACAAATATTCCCTGTCAAGTTCACATTACACAAGTTTTAACAAGATTCCTCCATGTACAACTTTAAAGTTTCACACATTTATTTTTAAAATTTATTTTTGTTGCAGTTTTTCTAATATTTACTATTCTTTAGTTACCTGTCTGAAAGGTGGCCATGAACTGATGCAGATAATTTCTCTCTACAGGGTGGAGTGTCTGATGAAGTGACACTAAGTGCTTACATAACTGCTGCCTTCTTGGAAATGAAAATGCCCACAGATGTAAGTTGATTAGAAAATGAATCACTTTCTGTCAGGCAGTTTATTATACAGATATATTGTACAAAGAAATGTTTAGTAATTGTTTTCTATGTCTATTTTCTAATGCTGGTGACCTACAAAGATAATGATTTAAAACAGACTGATTTATTGTAAAGCCTCCAGTTACCTTTCACAAACCAAAAACATGCATCTTTGGTTCACTGGTACACTATACACCTCAAACAAATGCTTAAGTAATTTGTTTTAACCTGTAATGGAAAATATTCCAGGCAAGGCAGAAATACGTGAAATAAACAAGGTGAACTTGCATGGCTTTGGTCTCAAATGTTTTAATAAGAGTTGCATATATGCAAGAGAGGTGAATGAAAACCGGGCAGAGATGAATTATCCAGCTCTGTCAAGTTCGCACTAAAAGCAGAAACAGGAAACAGACAATAATTATAAACATCTGGTGGAATTTGTAGCAGCCAATAAGAGCATGCTAAATAGAAGGAAGATGTATGAATGACCAATCAAAGATTTACAAGTTATATAGGCAAAATGAAATGAGAACAAGGTTGCAGACGTGCATACAGCGTTGTTAAGAATCACGAGAACAGATTATACACTGGGCAGTTATCTATGAGATACAGAAAAGAAACAAGTCAAGGTGATATGCAGTTATTCAGAGATACAGTATATAATACTTCCACCACACTCCCTCCTCTTGATTAGTCACTAATCAATTAAAATAGGGAAGAAACAATTATATATCCATAAGTAACCATAACTGCAACAACACCAATGTAAAAGGAACAAGTGCAATGTAAAAACAGTGCAAACAGGCTTAAAGAGTCAAACACGTCAAAATTTAAAAAACTTAAGTGGTCCAAAAATGGCAAAGTATCAGAAACTTAAGCTCCGCCCCCAGCAAATTTGATAGTATTAGCCTCTTATGTTCCATCAGAATCTTATCTCGGATAAAGTGTTAACTTAATAACAACTAGTTGTCAATAAATGAACCTTAAGTAATGCAAATTAGGACAAGGCAAGTTGAAGAAATACTGAAGGCATTTACTTCCAGAAGAATAGATTGAACAAATCTAACAGCAAAGTAACAAATGAAGACCACAAAACTTTATGAATAAATGAATAAATGTCATTAAAACATTCAAAATTAAGTTTCCACCCCATCCAGATAAACTTTATTCCACCCCAAACAATCTAAAATCATAAAAAACAAAATTCAAAACCTAAAATATCATAGCAAATGCAAAATCAGACAACTAAGTAGCTAAAAAGAAAAAAAAACATAAAATGAAAATTAAAAATCATTTTAATCAAAACCACAGAGTCCATAAGGCATGAACTCAAATCGTTAATCACTGGCACTGGAAATGTTTAGTAATTGTTTCATTTGTCTATTTTCTTATGCTGGTGACCTACAAATGTAATGATTTAAAATAGACCTATTTATTGTAAAGCCTCCAGTTACCTTTCACAAACCAAAAACACACATCTTTGGTTCACTGGTACACTATACACCTCAAACAAATGCTTAAGTAATTTGTTTTAACCAAAAACATGTTCAAGTCAGTGTGAATTGACTTGAACATTCGACATGTATTTAAAGATGACATTATCTATTTCATTGTTGGGTCACTGAACCGTTTGGGGGATGTTAGATGTAGAGTCAAGAAGAACCAAAGTCATAAATCTCAGTGATTTTGTAGATGTTTTTACAAAAAGAGAGTGGAACACACCATATAGAGCAGAGAAAAACAAGGTTGTGATCTCAATTTCCCAGAGGAGGTCTTGCATTGGAGATATATGAATCCTTAACATTTGTGTAAAACAAATCCAATGTCTTGTTTTCTCTGGTAGAGCAGCTGACAAACTGTTGAAACATTGGCAGTGTAGCAGAGAATGAGGCATGATTAAAATCACCAGATATTGCCAAAAATGCATTGGGGTGTTGTGTCTGTATCTTAACAAAAATGTAACTGATGATACATTGTTAGCAACAGCTTAGCACGGAATGTAAACAGTTGCCAAAATAACACTAAAAAGTATAGATGAAAGCTTACCGCCGAGAATTCAATGTCTGGACTGCAATGATGACACTTCACAGTATTATTTCCTGGATGACACCATCTGTTGTTGACAAGCACTGCTAATCCCACTCCTTTCTTCTTCCTGCTGCTTTTTAAATCTCTGCTCGTATAGTCAGGAAACCTGTCAGAGAAACGTTAGAGATGGGGATATGATCCTTCAGCCTTGTCTTAGAGAAACACATAATATTATACATTAATTATACTATACCTATACTTTTGTTGAGTCCTTGTCAGGGCTTGAAGTTCATCTTACTTGTTAGCTAACAATCTCACAGCGGCACAATTCTAGAATAAAAAAATAAATAAAAATGTCATGAATGAATCTATTTCACTTGATTTACAGAAGAATACTCATATCAAGTGTTTACTTATGTAGGTAAAAGTAAATGTTCAACARCCTGTTAAAATAGACCAGAATGAAGGAAATGGGATTTACTTCACCCAAAATTATCTGAGGGGAAAATTAAAAACACATTAAAACTGACTGTTGTGGAATTCCAATTTGTTATTTGTCTACAGACGTCAACATCATGATATTACCTGTAAAATAAACAGAACCATATCTGTTGGCAACTCATTAACTCTTATATTGCTAAAGTTCTCAAACTGCCATTTTACAATAACTTTACAATAAATTTCTAAAATGATGTAATGAGTTTTATTTCTGGTGTGCCACCTTAAGATTTTTAATGGGCTTCCCATGGCCCCCATAAAAAAATTCTGGAGGCACCACTGAATCTAAGTGTGGAGCACTGATCACTCAGAGATGAAGAGATGAAGCGAAACACCACACCCTCCGCGAGTACCCAAAGTACGACTATAACTCAGCCTTAAAGGCCACTTTAAGACCACTTTAAACGTGGTCAGATTCAGGGCTGTGAAAAAATGGGTTCGCAAAAAATTTTTGGAAATTTTGGACAGGGCAAAGGTTTGTATGTATGATGTCACAAATTCAATATCATTGTAAGCATGCTAACTCACAACTATTTACATACACCAGTTGTTATCCAAATGTAGAGATTTTTGTCTTCTTTCACCTCAGTGACCTCACATGGCTTTAAAACCTATGCTTTTTATTCCCAAATCTCTCAAAGTGCACACCCAAATTTCCACAGATTTTTTTGTTATATTTTAGCACAAATTTCTCTTCAAAATTAAAACTGAAGGGTCTTTATAACCTTCCCAAACCTCCTACATAAAACACTGACGGCTGTGTTTTCTTTTGGCTGTCTGACACAACTTCCCTCAGATATCATTTGATTTGGCATTTGTTTTTACGACACATGCTCTTCCTGACAGACAACAGTCTTTGGACACAAATTCTGTGATGTGTTAGAAAATTAAGATACAGCTAGAATAACCATTTCTGCAAAAATATAAGAAAATATTTGATTTACTGTTTATTCTGTTAAAGGATCCTGTAATGGCCAAAAGTCTGTCGTGGCTCAAAGGCTCCATCAATGACTTCAGCAACACCTACACTACAGCTCTGCTGGCGTATGTCTTCTCTCTGGCAGGGGACATGGAGACCAGTGATCACCTTCTGCAACATCTTGACTCAGTTGCAGTTAAACAAGGTGAGCCATCTTTGTGACGGGGATGATTTAGAGTTCATTATAACAAATAAGATCATCTGTGGTGTTTATGAACGGCTGTTCTTAGGGGGTTCAACCCACTGGTCTCAGACAGCATCAGAAACATCCGCCTCTCTGTCTGTGGAGATCAGCTCCTATGTGATGATGGCCAAACTCACTCAGTCCCACTCTGCTGAAGACCTGGGCTATGCCTCCAGCATTGTTCGGTGGCTGACGAGTCAGCAGAACTATTATGGAGGCTTCTCTTCTACTCAGGTACAACAGTCAAGTTTCATCTTTATAAGAAGATTGATGTAAATTATTGAGTTTGTTTTTACATATTTAACACTTGCTGGTAAAGTGTGTGCATGTGTGTGTGTGTGTGTGTTCTGACATTTATATGGTAAATGGACTGTACTTGTTGTACCTTTCTACCCAACCAGGACACGCAAACCTCTTCATACTACAATCTGATCCTCATTTATCCATTCACACAGCACTCTATTAGGTCTCTACAAAGCTAACATGTACAATCATCTTTGGAGACTAATCAGTGCCAATCACATTCATACACTGATGGGACACATCAGAGGCATTAGGGGTGAAGTATCTTGCCCAAGGACACAACAACTGTGACAGCTGGACGGGGGATCGAACCGGTGACCTTCTGGTTCAAGGACGACTCCCCTAACCACTCTGCCACAGCTGCCCATTTACTGCATTCTGTCTTGACCTAATTAAATTGTGAATGAATGAATCATGAATGAATTCATTTTTGGGGATAGCTGTGTTCAGTTTGACCAGCCTGATTACTGCAAGACTTGTAGAGTCAATAAATCACTTCATTAGACCCATTATCTACAAATGAAGAAAACATGGAACAGCAGTGGACCTTCCTTCACCAGTCAACCAAAATGATTCCAAACGTTCAATGATGACTTATTCATTCAGGAAGTCCCAGAAGAATCCAGAAGACAATCTAATGTTCTTAAGACCTCACTCGCTGCATTTCCATTGCAAATGTGCGCGAAACTTTGTCGATATTTTGTTAATGTCGAAAAACACAGTTTCGCAACTGCAGTGTTTCCAGTAAGTAAGAAATGCTATTAAAGTAACGCGTTGTAAGAAATACATATTCAATATTGACTGAAGTCAGATTAAAACACAATAGTTAAATAAATTGATTTGCAAAAGGAATAAGGTCAAACAACACCAGAATTCTGGATCTGAGTGAGGTTTATTTGTCACCGGACTGACAAGCCAAACCACACCGAATGAAAGACAGGAAGTTCCCTTTTATAAACACGATTCTTCAATGCCTGAGTTCGCCCCCTGCTGACCTACGGCTGAATCACAGGCATTCAGACAAAGACCTCAAACTAATGTTTTAAAACGGTTCACTTATGTGTTGTATATAATTCAGACATGTATCTACTCTATTTCAATCAACACATAAAAGATCAAACATTGTACAAGTATTATAAAAAGCAACCCTAATACTCTGGTGTTGTTTTCTAACATCAGTACTAATCTATAAATAACTATAAATTTCTTCAGCGTGAATACGTTTGTTCACATGATAAGTCATTACAAACATGGCGGCGATGGATGTAAACACATAGCATGTTGCTACCACGACACTAGCGCTTATCATCAGAGGAGACGTCGGCGTCTTTTATCGAGGCTTTCCAGAGACAAGTCCCTACTTGGGAGCGACTACGTATGCTGTGTTTTTGGGAAATTGTAGTCGCTGAGTTTACTATTTTATACTACTTCTGTGATATTACTACTACTTCTACTTCCTGTTATCTTCTTCATCATCGTCTTTTTCACCAGTAGAAACAGCCGGTTGTTGATCACGTGACTCCTGTGATGTGAAAAAATTGTTTCTATTGTAGTTTTGTGAAAAACACCAATTTCTATACGGCTGAAAAACCACCTCATCCTAGAGCAAAAATATTTTGTCGAAAAACATGTTTCCATTGAGCAAATTTATTTTCGAAATTCTAATTTGCGCATTTTCATGGTCAATGGAAACGCAGCTAGTGCCTCAGTTGAATGTCAGAGTTCATGATTTAACAATAAGAGACCAAGTGTAAAAATTAGCCTCCATGTACATAAGAACACAAATTTTTCTCTCACATTTGCCAAAAAACATCCTGATGATCCTGAAGACTTCTGGGATAATTTTTTTTGTAGAACGTTATAGCAGGTGCTATTAAGTTGTTGCCTGTGATATGATGGTTTGCTGCTTCAGGACATGGACAACTTTTTGTAGTTCAGTGGTTCTCAATTCTGGTTCTTGTGACCCACTACCCTGCATGTTTTAGTTTTTACCTGCTTTGGAACACCTGACTTAAAGATTGTCAGACTTCTGCAGAGTTTAAAGACATGCTGAAGAGCCAGGAAACAACTAAAACGTGCAGGGTAGTGGGTCACGAGTATCAGAACTGAGAACCACTGCTGTAGTTGATGTAAACGTGAATTTTACTCTGTTAGAATGTCTGACCACCAGCCTGGGATTTTAGGCTCAAGAACACTTACTGTAGGTACTGAAGCAGGAGGATTACCTGAAGCAGCAACATTTCTCCACAGTCATGGTAAAGACTGACTCACTCACTCCATCCATCCATCCATCCATCCATCCATCCATCCATCCATCCATCCATCCATCCATCCATCCATCCATCCATCCATCCATACAATTTTCATAATCATGAAAATAAAGAACACTTTTTGAAAAAGGTGTGTCCAAACTTTTGGTCTGTACTGTACATACTTCTAATGTTACAACTTTGTGGTGCACGCATCATCAGGGTGCTGAGGATAACATGGCCCAAGGTGGACATGCATAAATGGGCTTGGACCCTGGTCATAACTGCTTCGCAGTTCTAGTCATATTTGTTTTTATTGTTCTTGTGTTCTTGCATTTTGTTTTGTCTTTTTATTAGTTGTAATATGTGAAGCACTTTGGCCAACAGCAGTTGTTTTAAGTGTTCTATATGAACAAAGTTGAATTGACGTGACAAGACCTCAAAGAACTCCTTCCACATCCAAGCTTTTTCATCAGCAACAGCCATGGCTGCAACCTGCTTGGCCTGTTGATATTCCTCAGCTGTCGCCAGCATCCTATCATCCAACAAAGCTCAATAAGACTCCTTCTGCAGATTGATAGCATAAGTAAGGGTGTCCATCACCAAGTCTGTATAGACACTGTAAGAGGCACCAGTAACCTGGCGACCACAGCTGACCTAACCTAACCCTAACCCACCTCCACAATGGAGGCTGGGAAAATGGCCCCCTCAGACTCAATGTCCCCTCCCTGAACTGGTGAGCCCAACTATATCTAGTCGGTACCTCTCAACCTCATGCACCAGCTTTACCCTTTTCCTGTCCAGAGGGGTAACATCCCATGTCCTAAGAACCAGATTTGGTAAACCAGGGTCAGAGAACCATGGTTATGGGGTGCCGTAAAGTTACACAGTCAAAAATTACCAATTGTTTTTTTAGCCTTTTATAAGAAAAAAAAGAACAGATTTATTTTTCAAACTCAGTTTTTCACCACATGATACATACACTTATAAACGTCATAGTTTATAAACTAAATATTTAACTTACAAATTAAATATTTAGTTAACAAGCTAAATATTTAACTTGTGATTTAAATATTTAGTTTTGAGCTAAATGTTTAGCTTGCAACTTAAATATTTAGCTAACTACCTAAATATTTAACTTAAATATTTAGCTGGCCACCTAAATTTTTAAGTTAAATATTTAACTTGCTAGCTAAATATTTAAGTTGCCAGTAAAATATTTAGCTCAAGACTAAATATTTAAGTCACAAGTTAAATATTTAGCTTGTGACTTAAGTATTTAGTTTTGAGCTAAATAATTAGTTTGATACTCAAATATTAGCTAGCTACCTTAATATTTAGGTTACAACTTAAATATTTAGCTAGCTACATAAATATTTAACTTGCTAGCTAAATATTTAAGTTGCAATCTAAATATTTAGGCACTTAGCTAAACATTTAAGTTGCAAGCTAAATATTTAGCGCAAAACTAAATATTTAAATCACAAGTTAAATATTTAGCTTGTTAACTAAATATTTAATTTGTAAGTTAAATATTTAGCTTGTTAAATAAATATTTAATTTGTAAGTTAAATATTTAGTTTATAAAC